TTGAACTTGTGGCGTCCAAGGAACACCGCTACATCGAGTTTGAGAAGAGGTTGAGGCGCGGCCTCAAGATGAGAGTTGGGGGTTTCATGATCCGAGACTATGGGCGCTTGGTTGATGCTGCAGCCCATATGGAGATCATGATGCAGGAAGAGGAGGGACAGAGAGACTCCAAGAGGAGCTAGGATGGTCAGGGGGATGGCAGGAGACAGAGGGGTGCTAACCCTCAGCAGTCTCAGGGTGGTGTTGCTAGATCGACCTTTCCAGTGCCGAGTGCAGGTTCGAGGAGAGGCAATCAAGGAGATTTCACCTATTACAAGTGTGGTCAGCTGGGCCACAAGGCTTCGGTTTGCCCACAGAGGGGAGGAGGTCAGAGAGCTGCTTCATCTTCAACTAGACCGTAGAGCCAGAGTCATGGCAGGGACCAACCCTTGTCTTGTTATCAGTGTGTTCAGCCTGGGCACCTGAAGAGGTTTTGCCCACAGTCGAGTGCCACTTTGGGCGTGTCTGGTTCTAGGTAGACGCAGGGTTTTCAGCCATCTCAGTCTGTGCAGGCCTCGAGGGCCAATCCGGGAGCCTCGTCATCCCAGTCTATGCAATAGTCGTATGCTCCGAGGCGTGAGCAGGTGGATCAGGGGCCTACTGGCCGCGTGTACGCTGTTACCGCGTAGGATCTTGTACCTACTCCATCAGTTGTGAGAGGTACCTTCTTGTTTTGCAACTTGGTTGCTAGTGTATTGATTGATACGGGTGCATCTCATTCTTTTGTATCTGCTGCATTTGCTTCTGTTTTGGGATTGGAGTTGGCACAGTTAGCATCTCCTATTTGTGTAGTGTCACCTATTGGAGGTGAGTTGATTTTGAAACAAGGATGTAGGGGTTGTGATATAGAAGTCACCGATCGCCGGCTTCCGTTTCCTTTTGTAGTTATGCCTATGACGGGTTTTGATGTTATTTTGGGTATGGACTGGTTATCGTCATACCGGGCTGTTATCGATTGCTACCCCCAGAGGGTTACAATATGTACCTTGAGCGGGGAGTGTTTCCATTTCTTGGGGGATTGGGTTGGTAGTGTGTTGCCACCGGTGTATGATCCGCGAGGGCGGGGTGAGCTTAGTGGTCTACTTGCTAGCTTCTTGAGTAGTGAGTGCGGTGAGACCCAGACTGTGTTGCCGAGAGTGGTTTGTGAGTACTCGAACGTCTTTCCCGAGGATCTCGTTAGTTTGCCACCTCATCGAGAGATCGAGTTCTCTATTGATTTAGTGCTCGGCACGGCGCCGATTTCTATTGCACCTTATCATTTTGCCCCAGCCGAGTTGAGTGAGTTGAAGATTCAGCTTCAAGAATTGCTAGATAAGGGCTTCATTCGCCCTAGTGTTTCGCCGTGTGGAGCGCCGGCCCTCTTTGCTAAAAAGAAAGATGGTGCCTTGAGACTTTGTACAGATTACCGGAAGTTGAATCGGGCTACGGTTAAGAATAAGTACCCTATGCCCTGTATAGATGATCTGTTTGACCAGTTGAAGGGGTCCCGTTGTTTCTCTAAGATAGACTTGAGATCGGGTTACCACCAGTTGAGGGTCAGGGAGGAGGATATTCCGAAGACGGCATTTCGTACGCGGTATGGCCACTATGAGTTTCTGGTGATGCCGTTTGTACTCACCAATGCACCGGCAGTCTTTATGGACTTGGTGAACCGGATCTTCCAGGAATTGTTAGATCGTTTTGTGGTCGTTTTCGTGGACGACATTCTTATCTATTCACCTTCAGAGGAGGAGCACGAGGAACACTTGAGAGTGGTGCTTGAGTTACTTAGAGCCTATAGGCTGTATACCAAGTCTGGGAAGTGTGAGTTCTGGCTGGGGGAAGTCAAGTTCTGAGGCCATGTGGTTTCCGGGAAAGGGGTGTCTGTTGATACATCCAAGATTGAGGCAGTGCAAGGTTGGGCACAGTCTAAGAGTGTGTTTAAGATCTGCAGTTTTCTGGGGTTAGCTGGGCATTACCGCCGGTTTGTGAAGGATTTCTCCAGGCTAGCTTCGCCATTGACTAGATTGACACGGAAGGGAGTCAAATTTGTGTGGAGTGAGACTTGTGAAAAGTCGTTCCAAGAGTTAGATTGACCACCGCTCCGGTCTTGATTATTCCGGAGAGAGGGTTGGGTTATGCAGTTTATTGTGATGCCTCACAAGAGGGCTTGGGTTGTGTGTTAATGTAGGAGGGGAAAGGGGTGGCCTATGGATCACGTCAGTTGAAAATACATGAGAAGAATTACCCTACACATGACCTAGAGTTAGCAGCAATGATATTTGCCTTGAAGATTTGGAGGCACTACCTTTATAGTGAGAGGTTCGAGGTGTTGTCGGACCATAAGAGTTTGAAGTACTTGTTTACACAGAGGGACTTGAATTTGAGACAGAGAAGGTGGATGGAGTTCATTGAGGACTACGACTTTGAGTTGCACTATCACCCGGGAAAGGCCAATGTAGTGGTCGATGCCCTTAGCAGGAAATCCATTAGTGATGTAGCTTGTATAGCCATCTGGGAGTGGGAGATGTTGGGTGCACTTGGCGAGTTTGATTTGATTTTGGGCGAATTCGTTGAGGCTGCGGCGTTATTTCCTGTTGTTGCGCAGCCTACACTTGTGACTCGAGTGTTAGAGGCACAGAGAGGTGACCTTGAGGTAGAGTCCTTCAGAGAGAAGATCTCCAGTGGGAAAGTTGAGAAAGGTTTGACGGTGTATCCCGACCAGAGTGTGAGATACCGAGACCATTTGTTTGTGCCGGAGTCTTGCCGAGAGGAAGTACTCCGAGAGTTTCACCATTCACGCCTTGCGGTGCATCCGGGAGTCACTAAGACGTATCGGGATTTGGGTCGCCAGTTTTGGTTGCGAGGTATGAAGAAGGATGTGGCGGTTTTCGTGTCTAAGTGCCTTACTTGTCAGCAAGTGAAGGCCGAGCATCAGAGGCCAGCGGGTTTGTTGCAACCCTTGCCTATTGCTGAGTGGAAGAGGGAGCATGTCACTATGGACTTCGTTGTAAGTCTTCCGAGGACTCAGCGGGGTAGTGATGCTATTTGGGCGGTTGTAGACCGGTTGACTAAGTCGGCGCACTTTATCCCTATGCGCGTGAGAGATTTGGTAGATCATCTTGCCGACTTGTATATTCGGGACATAGTGAGGTTGCACGGGGTCCTAGTGATGATCATCTTAGATAGAGACCCTTGTTTTACTGCTAGGTTGTGGCAAAGTTTGCAGAGCGCCTTGGGCACTAAGTTGACCTTTAGTATAGCTTATCATCCTCAGACTGACGGGCAGTCCGAGGGTACTATTCAGATCCTTGAGGATATGCTTCCAGGTTGTGTCCTGGACTTTAGTGGGACGTGGGAGAGGCACTTACCCATAGTGGAGTTTGCCTACAACAACAGCTTTCAGTCGAGTATCGGTATGGCACCGTTTTGAGGCCTTGCATGGCCGACCTTGTAGGTCTCCAGTTTGTTGGGCCGAGGTGGGTGATGCACCTTTGTTGGGCCCGGAGTTGATGAGAGAAACAACGGAGAAAGTCGAGCTTATCCGTAGGAGGCTTGTTACAGCCCAGAATCGTCAAAAGAGTTATGCCGACCGTAGGAGGAGGCCTTTAGCTTTTGAGACGGGTGATCATGTTTTTTTGAAAATATCACCTAGGCGAGGTTTGATGAGGTTTGGGAAGAGTGGGAAGTTATCCCCTCGGTTTATCGGTCCCTTTGAGATCCTTGAGAGGATTGGGGAGGTTGCTTATCGTTTGGCTTTGCCGCTGCAGTTGTCCGGAGTGCATGTCGTGTTTCATGTGAGTATGCTTCGGAAGTATGAGCCGGATCCAACGCTTGTATTGGATTGGACTGACTTAGAAGTAGATGAGGATGCCTCATATGAGGAGAGACCGGTTCGGGTCTTGGATAGGCGGGATCAAGTCTTGCGAGGCAAGACCACTTGGGAACATGAGTTAGAGGTCCGCGAGAAATATATGGATTTGTTTGCTGATGTTTAATCATGCATTAGTAATTTTGTAATATTGTGAACTTTAAAAGCATTGAATATGTCTTAAGTTGTAAAACATTGTATATGTTGTGATTGATGGGAGTTATTTTTAACATTGTGGAAATGCAAGCATAATATTAATGTTGCAAGTGTTATAGAATTGTGGGGAATGTGTTGAAATTGGTAAAATTTCAAAGGAATGCATGTTGGTAATTCAGGTTGTTATATACAATGAGATTTGGCTCTTGAAAAGAGATGAGATTGGCCGGTAATGGGCCGGGTTGTTTAATATTATATAGTAATATTGTTGGGAATTGAGAAAATCTTGTTTTTGAAGAACTTGTATTTAATTTTGGGGACAAAATTCTTTAAGGGGGGAAGGTTATAGCGATTCCGGTTTTCCCTTTTTGTAATTGTTGTATTCCGGACTTTGGTTTCGGGGAGTTGGTGGTTGTTTATCTTGTTGTCATCCGTTAATTCCATATATTTGAGTTTTAGGATGTGTTGGGCGTGTTTTGAACAGGTAGGTTGAGTTTTGGTCTCAAGTGTAGTTGCCCAGGTTTTTGGTGTTACGCTCGAGCGGGTCATTATGCGCTCGAGCGGAGTTTTGGTTTTTGGTTTTCCGCTCGAGTGGGCCTTCTTGCGCTCAACACTACTAAAAAAAGTACTTTTTGCGACCGCTATAAACCGTCGTAAATAATAAAAAACAGTCGCAAAAAGCCTTTTGCGACGGCCCATGCGACGGCAAATGGGGGTCGCAAATATGGGGGTGGCAAATACTTTTTGCGACGGCAAGGCAACAGTCGCAAATTATTTGCGACCACCTAAATTACTTATAGCGACCGCTATTTTGCCGTCGTAAAAAACAAAGAAAAACATCTTGTTACCATTGCAAAAAGAAATAAAATAAAATAATAAAATAAAAAAAAAAAATTGTAACATTAAGCACTCTAGGAATAGCAATGACAAGAATTCATACCGTATAACATTGTAATTTAATCAAGCATTCCATTTGAGTCTCAAAATTGGAGCCATATGTGAAAGTTATTACAACTAAAAACTTGGAAAAAGTTCTTTTATGAAAAAATTACAATCCAAATAGAATGCTAGTAAAGTCAAAATCTACAATGTTGGTGTTCACCACTGTACAAGGTACCGGTTGAGTTCCAATTTGTTAGCATAGAGATATATGTTCCTCAAATCCAAGCTTGCACCTGATCAATACACATTATGAAGGGGAATAGATCAGAACACAGACTACCCAATTTCTAGATCTTTTTTTAGATATAAAGCCTCAAGCAAAGCAAACATTGCAAAGAAATTATGAAAATCAAAATAGACAGCCAGAAAACAACCAAGAAGCCATTTACAAAATAAAACAAGAGTGGTTCCATATAGAAACATCTATGATGAGTGCATATAGAAAATTATTGTCCATTTTGTTTCCTGGTCATCCACCAAGAGAAGCCTCCCAAAATTAATATTTTATCCCTAAGTGTAAGACAGATAAATAGTAGACAACAAATGTACTCCATCCTGAAAGACAAACAAGAAAGATTTGATCTTTTCTGCCCTGTTTAAGTAAGATTCTATCAATAATCTGAAGAACAATTCATTAATCAAACTTTTAAACGTTCCAACTGCCACAAATGAACAATTTTCAGTAAACCTTCTAGTCCATGCTTTCGAGCTCTCCTGACAAATAATATCAGTAAATGCCACCTGATACCTTTACATTAGGCCAATAAACCAACCACATTGAGTTCTAAATCAATTCAAAACTCTCAAGAATGATAACTTAGTGACTATGAAATGTATCAAATTAAGTACATGGCTACAACAGATCTCATCAGTCTAGGGAACTCACAGCATTGGCTGCCTTTTCTTCTAAATTTTTTTGAAGTATAATAGTGTATGCAAGCAGTTGGTAAAATTTGCAGAATGTACAATGTGCAATTTTCATTTTGCACCATAGTAATTACTACAGAAATTGTAATCATACCTCAGAACGCAGAGTGTGAAAGTACCCAATTAGAGCAAATTTAGAAGCAGAGTATACGGCCTGACCTGGTGTAGGTGTCTTCCCTGCAGCACCGCTCATCATCAGCTAAAAATGCATCTCCATCTAGATAGCAAGACTTTTTCTTTCATCATTCAAAAATTGAACTAATTTAAAAGCATTTCAAAAACCAAAAGGATATGGTGCAAAAAAAGCAATGGAAATGCAAGGAATCATTAGAAACATAAACTAAAACTTATCAATATGTATATACTAGCAGTAACCCATGTTATGCATGAACCTTATATTCCAAAATGAGTCATTGTAGCCATCTCATAATATAAAATTTGTGATGATATAATTATACCACTTGAATTTTGTGCATAGATACCAGCCACATATCAAGAAAATGGGTTAAAGAGAAAAATAAGAGCAAAAGGGATTAGAGTTCGTAGTGGAAGGACATACCAGAAAACTATTTCTTGACTCTCTAATTCAGCTTCATTTCGAGCAAAAAAATTAATCCCAAACACATGAAAACATGATGATATATTTGGATTGGATTAATTTATATGTCACAAAAGTTTGCTTAAATTGTAAGGAAATGACAGCGTGAGATCTTGTTTGACCCCGTATTTTAAGGCTAATTACTTGCATAGTTGTTTTTCCTTTCTACTCACCAACACAATTATTAGTCTAAATTTTCTTTATATTTCCCTCATATTCCTTCTTTATACAAAATCTCAGCATAAATTCAAAATCTAAACACAAGTTAATTGCTATATAAAAAATTCATCACCTGTGGTTGAACTCTGGGTGAATTGCAACAATCATATAGTACAGATCTCTATCAAAATCTAAACACAGCTGAAGTATTATGTCAAAAATTCTTTGACTGTTGTTGAATCCCGTTCCTTTGCAACAATGCGCTTTATAAACACATCACCTGAACTATAGCCGATTTCCTGCAAGGCGCACCCAAAAAATACATACAAATGTATTAGTGTCTAATGAATTGATCAAAATATTTTATTTGTTGCTTTGAAGATGAGAAACACACCCGAAGAATTGGAGGCACCTTAAATATCACAATATCTGAAACTTCAGGCTTTCTAAAGACATAGGAAACCTGACCACCAAATATATCAGGAAAAAAATCAACTCAAAATATTCAAAAAGCAGAGACACTTCATTTTTATCCCACAAGATTTCACACTTATGTTATACATAAAACCAAACAAAACATCATCTTCCATCAATCATATTTCTAGAAACTACAACATAATTGAAAAAGCAAATATTGGTGAATAGCATTATTATGTCGAGTCAAGATTTAACAAAAGCATCTAAACATTTTCTGAATATAATGCTATGATCATACATATATAAGAAGAGCAATCTCCTGAACAAAACATAATAAAACAAAACACAGGGGATGAGAAGAGCAATCTCTTGACCCATTCATCAAAAAACTGCAGTAGATAAATTAGGGAAAAGCACATTGACAACATGTCAACATCCACTAACATAAGGCACATTGAAATATAATCTCAACAAGTTAAAATGCATATAAATATGGCTTCAATTGAAATGATCCAAGGGAAGAAGAAAGTGTGAACAAAGCCATTCTCTACTGTAAATTGTAACTAAATGAAATGAAACCGTGAAGAACAAATCGAGTACCTTTGAAGAAATCACGAAGAACAGAATTCCAAATGAAATTGAATGCATCGATCATAAGAAGAAATTGCGAAGAACAGAAATCGCGAGGGGCACATGAATGCATCGTTCCAAATCCTAGAAAATATTGAAATTAAATCAAAGTTACTCAGCATTACTGGTAAATGAACTAAAGGACTAGGTGGAGGATTGCGAAAATAGTAATAGTTTCAGAAGTCAAAGAGTGAAGTGGGGTCATTATAATAATAGAATATCAAGCATATGGGATTGAACAATAGACAATGGGGTTATTATAATATTATAGACAGAAATTGATTATAAAAGATGGAAACGACCATTTCAAAAACATAAAAAATCAAGCAATGAGAATCTAGAAAATGCATAGATATTTTATTGAAAACAAACCTACCAAACTATCTTACATGGACTTGGGTATGCATCTAGAGGTTGGAACCCATCAAATCTCATATTTAAGAAGACATTTACTTGGCAAAAAATGGTGATATTTTTATATTTTTAATCTATTATGTGAAATAAAATGATGCTATATGTAACATACAGTGTCAAAAAGACATTTTATTCATTTTATAGTAATTATAGAACAATATATACATAATGATATTGTTAAATACAACTATATAAATGTCCAATGAAAAGTACTATCTTACATGGACTTGGGTATGCATATAGAGGTTGGAACCCATCAAATCTCATATTTAAGAAGACATGTACTTGGCAAAAAATGGTCATATTTTTATATTTTTAATCTATTATGTGAAATAAAATGATGCTATATGTAACATACAGTGTCAAAAAGACATTTTATTCATTTTATAGTAATTACAGAACAATATATACATAATGATATTGTTAAATACAACTATATAAATGTCCAATGAAAAGTATCCTATACATATCTTACACCCTTATCCAAACGTCGGGTGTCCGATAAGAGTGTTTGATTTACTTTAAGGTGTCCATGTAACTTAGTGGGCCTTCCAACCACCATCTCTAAACATACACATAACATCTGTAGATAGAGAATACAGATTACTCACATTTGGTAGTTTAAGGTAACCACTAGGGGCCAAGTGAGCCTGCAACCCACAAATTAAAATCCAGTGCACGAAGTCTTATTAGAGAACATAATAAGATTTAAAATTGACAAGAAGTGAAGAGAAGCATACAACCAATCTTCTCTTCAGAAGTTCACATGTAAGAAAGTTTTCCAACACTAGTAAAGTTGTATAACTGAATCAAGTTCGAGAGATGTATACTTGGACATCAGCAATGTAGACCTCTGCCAGACTGCAAAAGCAAAAAATTAGGTTTCAAATTAAAAATTATTACGATGTTATAACGTTTATTTAAATCCAAACCGACAACAGGCTTATGTATTTGATTTTGAGTTATAGAACTCTAGGATTTAGTTACACTCTCCGCCAAACAGATTTAAAGTTCCCATGAGATGTGCTGTTTGCCCCAAAAGTCTGAATTGAAATTTAAAAGAGAATAATAAGACACTCACCCTTAGAACTGTTTCTTTTTATATAGATAAGTAAACTTCAAATGGTGCCATACCCTCTTTATACCCTCTTCTTTCTCAACAAAATTGGGATAATCATAATATGCCATCCCCTACTTGTACTAGAATCCATCAAGTTATAGATAAATCTCCAACTTATTACTGCCTTCCTACATTGCCCTATACCCTCTCCGCACTTCATATCTGAAGGAATTTTAAATATTGTTGAGTTTGATGTAATAATAACAAAGAGATTATAACCGCACTTACACCACAAAGAGGAACAGAAGCTGTACCAGCATTATGTCCTCCTAATGAGACAAAAAATTTGACCTATTCCATAAAAGGGAGAAAACTGTCATTGTCAAAGACTCGGGAGTTCAGGAAAGAAAGATGTATTAAACTACATTACAAAACAAATGTGCCATTGCACTGACCATTTGGCTCCTTTTGTCATTAGAGATAGTTTCAAAACCATAATTAGAAGGAAAAAATGTGACTCTAGAAAGCAACCAGTAAATGTCAAATAGGATAATTCACCCATTCCAAAGGTACATATTAGAAAAGCATTGACACTTCTAAGAAGGTAATGTGTTTGTGTCCAACACACGTCAGACATACTCTCTCTCTTCTAAGAAGGTACATATTAGAAAAGCATTCACATCAATTTGTTTTCATAAATAATTTCAAACAAAAGTAGAGAGAGTGAAAAAAATGAGAGATTCAAACAAAAAATAGGAATAGATTGAAACAAAGAACAAAGAGGTAAAGATCAACAAAATGCAGATAAACAAACATGTAAACGAACACATCAAACACTTAGCATTTTTAACATATGAAACATTTCAAAATAAGCAGAATGAAATCAAAAATGACTTTTGTGATATAGAACAGAGCAAGAAACAAGTAGTTGATCAAACAGATACAATCAAAATCAAAGACCAAAATCACATTACCAGTAGTTTCCTGACGAAAGTCACAGTTCCAGCATGAATAGCAAGGAAAAACATCGTGACATCAGTCTTGAACTCTTCATACTCAACGCGAACCTCATTCGCCAATTCATTGTGACATGCCTTCAAGCACATAGTGCCAACGAAGTTGACATCGACGAACCGATCGGAGATGCAATCAAGCGTAGATTTTAGATCGTTACAGTGAGAAACTTCGAGGAGGTGTTGCGAGACCTCCGCTTCACACCAGAAATCTCAAGAATTTGAAAATAAATACTCTATTAAACCCTAGAATTGAAAAATTGAAGGTCTCCATAGTCGGCTCTGGAGAGAAAGAGAAAGAGAAAGAGAAAGCATCCGTGACGGAGAAGAGGCGCAGCGGAGAGGAGACAAAGAGAGTTGGAATCAATCTTAGAAATTATGAACCGATTATGAATCGATCGAAATCTTCAAATCTTTATCAGCAATTGATTGAAATTTTCAAATGAACAATAAAATTGTGAGTGGAGAATAGAAAGAGAGAGTCGAGCGAGAGAGAGTGGAGAGTGAGATTTTGAGAGAGAGAGAGAGAGTGTGTGTGTGTGTGAGACTTTGAGAGAGAGAGAGAGAAATCTTGTTTTTGAAGAACTTGTATTTAATTTCGGGGACAAAATTCTTTAAGGGGGGAAGGTTATAGCGATTCCGGTTTTCCCTTTTTGTAATTGTTGTATTCCGGACTTTGGTTTCGTGGAGTTGGTGGTTGTTTATCTTGTTGTCATCCTTTAATTCCATATATTTTAGTTTTAGGATGTGTTGGGCGTGTTTTGAACAGGTAGGTTGAGTTTTGGTCTCAAGTGTAGTTGCCCAGGTTTTTGGTGTTACGCTCGAGCGGGTCATTATGCGCTCGAGCGGAGTTTTGGTTTTTGGTTTTTCGCTCGAGCGGGCCTTCTTGCACTCGAGCAGGATTTACACGCTCCCAGTATCTCGTGTCCCTGTAAAACTT